CGTACAGCTTCGTGCATGACATGTATCTGTATGTGCGCAGATGTATGCACATAAACGTACTATTACTAGTGTAAGTACACGTCCTTGATAGCTGATGTATCACATGATGAACACGAAATAGGCCCCATAGAATAACTGTCTCACCCAGAGCAGATTACGTAATTATTGTCGCGTGCCTACAGAAGGTATACCATATCACTTCATGCGCGCACGCACACGCACGCACACACACACACACACACGCAGCACATGCTACATCAACAAGCTTTGTTTACATGTTTGGAATACCGTGGACAGGCATTACATATCTGCAGTCCTTGCAAGTCGCAGAGCAAAAAGGGCATGAGCATGACACAAAATGCACACAAGCCACGCGTGAAACTTGCGAAAAGCAAATTACAGGCAACATGCGAATCGGTGCTGGCGTACACGACAGCAAGTGTAGACTACGCACAAGCAGAACTGGACAACATGCACAAGCCACGCACACCTGTAGCGCGGCACAGCAGTGCATAGCGGCCAAAGAACGGTGATGCGAATCAAGCATGCCACACGCATCCCAACATACACGACATACATGCAGTACTGTACGTCCCCATACAGCATGCACATGTAACAGCCACGTCACAGCACATGCAACTCCGGTGCAACGCGCGGCCTGAACCGGTACATGCCCGCATCCCATCACACCATCACTACGCTGGGTTCTTTAGAGTAACTGTGAGAGAAACAGACATGGAGAGAGAGAGAGAGAGAAGGTAGAAACAGAGACGAAAAGATAGAGACAGAGAGAGTGATCGAGAGCGAAGAGCGAGAGCGAGACCGAGAGGGAGAGCGAGAGGGAGCGGGAGAGGGAGAGAGAGAGAGAGAGGCAGGCACAGGAGACTGTCGAACACCAGGATCGACCAGCGTGGGCGCCAAGTGTCAGTGTACAATGCGAGAAGAAGGGAATGGATAAGAGCTGAAGGCTATGACGTGCATGTGGAAGTAGAAGCAACACCGACTTCCCCCTCACATGACCCAGATACGTGCACCCTGTCCTCGCCCTAACCAGCTCAGCTCGAGCTGGAAAGCCCTCTATTTCAGCGGCTCAGGAACCAGCACGACTGCGGCGTGGACTCGGGTTTGGCTGCCTCGCTCTGAGCAGCAAGTGGCTCAGAGGCAACTTCTAAATCGCAAGTGCCTCCATTTCGCCCCACGGTGTCGAAAGTGCACGAGAGCTGCCTCCGAGTGCAAAGGATCGAGTCTTCCCAATATTCAAACAAATGTGCCGGCGCCTAGGCTCTAGGCCTAGACAATGAAACTGAGCCATCCGGAAGTGATGCTACGGTGACTTCATTGGCGAAGAAGGGACCCTTTCGCTGGCTCGCTGGGTCGCCGGCGCCCGGGCGAGCTGGGCGAGGCCTCGACAGGCCGTATGGTCGCCTCCTGAAAGGCACAAAGCGTGGGACCTCCCATCTCCGATTCCACCTCCGCTCACTGCTCTCTCTGGCGGTTCTTTTTGCAATTGCGGCGTGTTTGGTCTGTCATGCCATGGCGAGCTTCGGACGGCATCTAACAAGGTCTATGACGCGGCTATGACTCCAACTCAGATGTCCGAGGCCCGCTACGAGCACGACTCTGGGATGATTGCTTGTGGTGCGAGTAAACTGCGCAGTTCCTGGCTGTCGGGGTCGGCAGAAGGGCTCATCGGGTTTGCAGTGGGGGTGATCTGCTGCAAGTGGCCCCCGACAAAGCCTCATCGACAGTCACATGATCTGCGTTCAGAAATGCAGCGGCTGCTCTCGCATGGCGCTTTGCGCTTGCGTGATCAGTGAAAATCGGGCACGGCATCAATAATAATTTCCACTGAGATTTAGCAAAAGCTGTCAAGAGTTGTTCTGACACGCGCCCAACAACATCCTTCCGGCTAGTATTGCTGTCGTTTGATGGCCCTCGCGTATTGCAGCTTGGAGGCGGCCTCGTGCCCAAATTCTACAGCATTCTCGTGCGGGTCCGACTGCCGGTCTTGTTGTGCACTTTAAGGCACCTCATTCGGAAGTCTTCCGAATGCTGGTCTCGCATCTGATAGGCCGCAGAGTTTCCGAAGTGTTCTAGCATGCGCAGTTCGGAAGCTAAGACCAGATGCAAGTCATTGCAAGGCGGGCAGAGACTCAAACGAAAACCGGCTGACAGGCACCATACGCAAGCGAACTACAGTGTCACGTGCGTGCCCAGCTCAAGCCAAGTCTGCTTCCGCGACCTTAGTTAGCCACGGTTGGCAGTAAAATGTGACAAAGACCCACCGGCCACCGGCTATTCCGTCCATCACGAGGGTTGGAAGGACTCTGGGCAGGCTGCAGCTCCTGTCAAAGCCCTTTGAGGAGGCGGCGGTCGAACCTGGCCGCTGTTCTGGGGGCAGGTTAGGAGTCAGAGGGAATCTGTGAAAAATTCAAGGATCCCCCGACCCTGGCAGTACACTGTGCCTGTAATGAATGCATCCTCCCCACCTCATCGTACCACAGTTGCTTGCACCACCGGAACTCCTTGAACTGGCATTCCCTGCCTGCGTGACGGAGGGACAAACGTCGATTTCGTGGGTGTCATCACCACATATCACCACTATTCACGAAGGGCCGAACGCCCACAGATACCACAAACATCCCCACAAGGGCGAAGCAGTGGCTGATGACTTGCCTCCTCAGCATCTACCCGAATCTAGTTAGCAGAACCGTTGCCCATTTTGGGTGATAATACCAGCCTTCCACTAACCCACCCATTAGACGATTATTCCTATACTCCCCCCTACGCCCCACCCAATATATCACCACTACTACCCCATTACCAATACCAGTATAGGAATAACCGATTGTCTCATCCATACAAGAGGATTATTCCTATACACCCCTACACCCCACCCAACCTTTCACCACTACTACCCCAATACCAAGACCAGTATAGGAAGAACCAACTACCCCTCTAAAAATATTCCCTAAGGTGGTATTATCATCCCAAAGTGGGCAAAGGTTCTCTCATAAATTTTGCTGGGTTTAGTTTCAAAGGTTGTAATCAAAATAAGAATATATTCCGCAAACTCTTATGGACTGTGCTTAGATTATACTTATGCGCCTAACTCACGTTTTCGTTTCTCGTTGAAGCCCATTTATTTTTCATGGAAACTCACATTATATTTTTCATACTATCAAGACATTCACAACAAGTAGCCGTGGCCCTATACTGCGTTAAATACTTACCCGTTTTACAATATTAATGTTTTGAAATGCACTAAACTCCGTTCTTTACATCAGACACATTGCTGATGACAATGGGGAGGATAAGAATCAGTCTTAAATCCCATGGTTGTCTTACCAACATATGTTGTCATATTATATCTTCTCACAATGTTTTTCATAATTTACTAATTATGAAAAGCATTGGCGTCAAACACATTAGTTACATGCTTATGATGCAGTGATGTTTAGAATACTTGTCAGGCGCTCGTGCAAACGATGGGGTTTTGTCGTGTTTAACACACGAGGCTCGTTCCTCGTGTCATAAGACTGTAGAAAAAAATTTCTACATTAAGTTAATCAGTGAAGAGAATCCTAAAGCAGAACCGATAGATATACCCGAACACAGACATAAAAACAGTAAATACGGCATGATGCCTTCCTTACCATCTCGGATGTTATGCGTAGCTTCAACAATATCGTGGATCGTTTGAAAGAATATACCTTTTTTGTCGCCGGTTCATGTTGATGACACTTGGCAAATCTGTCCGTGAAATTTTGATTCCAATCATTCACGCAACTGTGCCACCAACATACATTTTATTACCTCTCACATAAACCTTATTGTCACGATCATAACCCATCTTAAAACCTTGTCTAGTGGATAGTCTTCCGTTAGACTTCAGCATGTTGTCTAATTGAGACTGTACTCTTAGCCAATATATCGATGGTTTTTAAAAATATGTGATTAATATCAGTTTCAGACCTTCAACATACAAACAAAGCTTTGCGAACTCTCAATACCGAGTTTCTGACAGTCGTTCCGCGTCAGATTTTCAAACAGTTGCAGGGCACCACACCATTTTGCAGGTGCACGAGGTTGCTATACCCAATGCGTGGCATTCAATCAACACAAATAAGCAGAACCTCTAGTTTAGACATCAGATAATGTCACCTGCCACACCTCAAGAAATAACATATAGAAGAATTGAAATACCAGCTGGAAATTATACTGCTCCTGATCTAGCCTCAGCCATAGAAACGCAATTCAATACCTTCATTGAGAGTGGTGGAAGGACTAACTCATATTCTGCCACATGCAATACCATAACGAACAAGATCACGATATCGTCAAACTACAGAGAAGTCGCGTTCATACCTTTGACTGATGCAAATGTGCCTTCATTTGTTGATATTAATAACCTTGATTCTATAAACAATGTTTTGGGTTATTTTACAACGGTCGGTGATGCATGTACTTCGTCTTCACCGTGGACGACTGGATTTACATATTTGATAAACTACCCTGATGTTTATATATCCTGCCCTGAATCATCTAATAATAACTTTCACAGCCCTTCTGCTTTTTCAAACGCGATAATTAAACAAAGCGCGTCTTGGCGCTCGGTGTCCATTGAAAAACCTTTGCCCGTTTGGGTTGATAATACCACCTTAGCCAAAATATGGATGGGGTAATCGGTTATTCCTATACTGGTATTGGTAATGGGGAAGTAGTGTTGATATTTGCGGGAAGTGTTAGGGAGTATAGGAATATTCCTCTTATATGGATGAGGTAATCGGTTATTCCTATACTGGTATTGGTAATGGGGATGTAGTGGTTATATGTTAATGGTGATATATTAATATTGGGTGGAGCGTAGGGGGGAGCACAGGAATAATCGTCCAATGGGTGGGTCAGTGGTAGGCTGGTGGTATTATCACCAAAAGTGGGCCAAGGTTCTGCTAACGAATGTACCCTCTCAAATTCCGAGACTCGCGATGCTCCCCATCTCACCGCGAAAGCTGGGGCTGGCACTGCGGGTACTGCGGATACTGGTCCATGTACCTCGCAAAACAATCACTGCTCGGGCCGATACAGCACAATCAGTTCATGTCTCGACTACAATACGGGTCTTATAGACGTGGGCCCTCCTCCGTTGGCGTCGCCAAACCAAATCAACGAAGTCACGACTCGGCTGACAGGCCATGGCCCCAGGGCACTGTGGCTGGGGCGCCCCAACCATCGCCGGGTGCATACCTCCGCTGGCACCAGAAATGCCCACCTTCCACACTCAATGAAGAGTGTGTCTGGGCAGAGAAACTGCCCTGCCTTCTGAAACATCATCTGCTGCGCTGGCGGCAATGAGTTCATGATGAGTGGAGGCATTCCTTCGCTGCATCTCCACAAGGGCTTCTGTGCGCTCAGGCCTGAGCCCGTTCTCGCAAGACTGGCCTTGATAGCCGTTCTTCTTGATGTCGTCGATCTCAATCTGCTGCTGCGCATGCATGCATCCTGTCACACTCAGGACGACACCTCGGCAACACCACGCGAGGCTTGCATCGTCACATCTCTTCAAGCTCCCACCCTGGAAAACCATCCCCCTTGATGCCGGGTCGCAGTCTGCCAGCAGGTCAATCTCCCTCGGAATATCGATGAAACACCTGTAGGGACTGCAGGGTCGTAGTCTGCATAGGTCCATTTTACGGCTAACGATCCGAGGTCGGAGACTTGAATTGAAGTGCCGCTCGGCTGCTCAGCACTCCCAGATAGGGCCCGGGCCGCGCAATGTCCACTATCCAAACCTCGGCAAATCTGATCAGCTGGCCCACAGCTGAGATTGGACCAGCTCTGGTAGCAGACCTTTTATCACTAATTCTTCCGCTTCTGCACCGTATACGTCCGTAGGCTCCCCACAAACAGGCATGTGCCGGTGATGATGCAATCATCACAAGCCGTGTTCTCTTTGTCGAAGCGCGTCTGAACCATAAACCTCTGCAAACCATGATGGATCTCCCTCACAGCGTTGAGATCTTGCTAGGCAGCATCCAAACCCAAACGTTGGGATTCCGAACCGGTTGCCGCTCACGGCAAGCCCGGGACAGCAGCAGACCTCCGCGCAAAGGCAGGTGCGGTCCTGCGTTGCAGGCGAAGGCTCGTTCATCTCACAGCTCCCGCTCCGTGACCCCAGGACAGCATGTCTACAATTGCTTGCACACATACCGATGCTACTTAGCATAACTTTCGGTGTGAAGATCTTCCGGACATCGCGAGAGGCTGCACAGACACAGCAAACAGCAGGCTTTTAAGCAGGTGTGAGATGGTGTGGGCCCTGCGGAAATGCCAGCCCGTCTTTTCTGCCACACGGCATGGAACAGCTGTGCCTTGGCGCTCGGACCCACCTTTGTGGCCGAAGCTGTCTGAATCCGACAAAAGCACTCCTAAGTGTTGCCAGATTCAGGAAGCTGCCTGGAAGCTGCAGCGAGCACGGAAATGCTCGGAAAAACAGAGCATCTAAAGTCTCTGCGTCCGTCTCGCCAAGCACAAGAGGCGCAGGTTCACCCTTGCCTTTACACTGAAGGTGGGCAGCAGCGCATCTACGAATGAACCGGCCAATATGCCAGAGGTCGCGAGATGCTCTCGACTTGTTTTGGGGCGGAGGCCATCCGCGCGCGGCGTCAGGTGCCCACGAAGCAGGCTACATCAGGATCTCCATCCCAGCATCATGGGAGCCGTAGAACTCCTGCAGACTCCATGAGTATCCATGGAACCTCCCATGACAACCACGCATCCAGAACAATGTCTAAAGCACTCTCCTTCAAGCCATCCACGTAAATCCACTCCATAGCCCGAGCTGGCGACAAGAGCTTGCAGTAGTGGTAGCCGACAGTCTGAATGAAAGGCCTTGCGTGCGTCAAGCAGGCATCCACACCCGGTGAGCAGGCTCAGTTGCAAACTCAGGGTCAAACAAAAGCAGCGGCGAGCAGGCCGAGGCAAACGGACAGCTGTCTCTGGCTTCGCAACCTCCTTTTACCCTCCGACGAGTATGTCCACCTTATTAACGATCCCTGAGAGCTATCCCTGAGAGTTACCCCGAAAGACCACCACAAAGAGAGCCGTTTTCTGGGTTGTGCTACCAAGCGACACGTCTCCCAGATTCCTCAAAGCCAACTGAAACAATCATGACTCATGCTCCTAAGCCTGAAAACACAATCATTCACTGAACATGAGCAGGTGACGATGCTACACACGCATCATCATTGGCCCGCAAGCTCACACCGGGCATCGTACAAGATGTTGCAGCCAAGCCTCTTGTTCTTCAAAGGGAAGTAGTGGGACTGCACTTCGACTGTCTTTTTGTCCTCTGAGGAGTGTGCAGGTTCTGGACTCTGCAATAGGAAGCTTCACCAACACATCCTTGCCGAACCTGTGCGCGACTGTCCTTGCTGGGAGTGTATGAAAGTGCATCATGGATCCACGTCGGGCCGGTAACTCCAAAGCCAGACTTCTTGTCCTGTGATAGATGTCCGTGGAGTTCAAGAGTGCAACTGAGCACTTGCACGATGCTCGTAGCCCCCTACCTCTGATGGCACAGTTTCTGATCCCAAAGTCTGCACTCGACGATTACGCTTATCATGCAATGCAGATTGCAGTGACTCTCCATGGCCATGCCCTGGGCAGCATATTGCTACTACTATGCTCACATTGACATGTATTGGACTCACATACTATTGCGACTAATGCCTCTGGGTTGTTGGATAGCTCGCCCACGTGCAGGATGCAATCTTGTCAACAAGGAGCGATCAGGACTCGACATGGGAGGAGATATACTAGACTCTAACCAGCCCAGTTGCTGTGACACATCTCCTTAGCCGTACTACTGATACTGCAAAAGTATTATGGCCACTTGGCGTCTGTGAGGGTGAGTATGTAGGCGTTGTAGTTGCTGCAGCTATTGTTGTCTAATGCATGCTGATGCTGCTGGTTGCTGTTGGTACAGAGTGCCATTGCTAGCTATATTATCGTTCTGACAGAAAGTAGCTGCTACTGAGCTGCTACTGCGAAGCCTTTAGGTGCTGCCAGTTCTACTATTCCGCTGGGCGCGACATCATCACGATTGACATCAACAGCATTATCACCTTCATGGTCACAATCATCTTCATATTCATCATAACCATCACAACCCCCAGTATCATGCTCAACAGCGTCTTCAACAAAACCAGAACCATCGTTACGAGTATGTTTGCTGCGGCGACTCCCGCTGCTACCGCTGCCGGTACTGCTGCTGCTACTACTACGACGACGACGACGACCACTACGACTACCCCTGCTAGGACTACCACCACTACTACGACTACTGCCTACTCTCCGTCCTACTCTACTACTACTACTACTACTACTACTACTACTACTACTACTACTACTTACTACTACTGCTACTCCTACTGCTACTCCTACTGCTACTCCTACTCCTACTCCTACTCCTACTCCTACTACTACTACTACTACTACTACTTGCTTCTTTCTTCTACTAGATGGTGGTGGTGGTGGTGGTGGTGGTGGAAGTGGTGGTAGGACTAAACGACTCGTAATACTACGACAATGACATTTAAAGAACGGATATGGATTTGAGTTTCAAGACGGAGCTGTGTTCAAGAAGAGGCCTAAGAAGAAGGAGGGCGAATGCTCCTTCTTCCTCATCAGCACATCGCCTGCCCGACCAGGGATAAGGGTTCAGGCTGTGGAGCTTAAGTTGTCAGTTCTGCGAATTTCTAGCTTCAGGGCCAAGTCAGAGGCCTGAAGATCTGCGCAAATGCCGGGGCCGAAACAGTTTGAACTGAACAAGCTTCCAAATACTTTCAAGCGTCGGAATTGACGGCTTCGGCTTGACTACGGGATCCGCGGCAATCACTTGTCAAACGCTGGATGCAAGTTTCGGCTTTTAAGGTTTTCGCGGCTGACCTTGAGACCGGGTATTGTTGGGAAGAACTTAACTTAGGGCTTGCCGTTCTCATCCGAGCTGGGACTTGATTCCAACTCCTCACATCTCAGACAACTGAACGAAGGCATGGAATCGTCAGGAACTTGACCCAATCTTCGACCCCTCAAATCCGAAATACCCCAACCCCTGAACCGCCGCAGCGACCCAACACGATCAGGCCTTCAAACCTCAAGATTCAAAACTAGACGACAGAATTGGAGGATGCAGAAGTGGTACCAAATTAAGATAAGGCATGTAAGAACTATTGACTGACAGGAGTGTCTGCTGTAGTTGGAAGCCCTGGCCTCAATAGAATCCGCTTCCATGTTCCAAAATACTGATGCAATATTGTGGGACCGGTGTGGGGGTGGTGGTGGTGCCAGGAGAACAGCCGAGTTAAAGCCTAACAACCCGACACCGAAGGTGAGGCAAAAGCAAGAACGTCATAGAAAAGCTGCGATCTGAACGGGATACACTCAGACTAACAAGAAATGAAGGCAGAAGACTGCATAAGCTTCTGCGAGCCTACGCGTTCCACAACGGTGACTGCAGTTCAACATGAGTCTTGGAGATCTGCATTTTTCGATGCTGCATTGCATCTATGAACCACGGATCCATGTCACTCCAGCCTTTGACGGACGACAGAACGGATCCATGTCAAAGCCAAAGCTCTCTGACAAAGTATACCGTTGCCACGGCTGGAACCCTCGGATGGGGACGTCCGTCGTTCCAATTCATGGCAAACATGTTTTTTGCCTGTTTGGTGTCTTCACTATCTGGCTCTGGATAATCTGAATTGCCCTCGGCAAGCAGGAGGTGGTAGTCCCACGGCCCATGGCAGTCACACCCTAACTTCGCGCGATCTACAGTGCGCGCCCAAGAGAAGCCTCCCCCGTAGGCAGTGTCCAGGGCACCCGCATAATCATCACGCATTGTGTCCAGCATACCCTCAGTCCGTGTGCATACTGAGTGCCCATTGCTCACAAGCCTGGCATTGCCAAAACAGGGGGACACAACTCTAAACGTTTTAGTCATTTTAGTCCTTTTGCAAGAGCTTACAGAAACGAGCACAAAGATTCTGTTTGTCGAGTGAGAAGCTCGTTGACAAGCACAAAATGCCCGTATCCTACCTCCGGACATTGCGAATGGACTGGCACTTTCTGCGCAACTTTCTCAGGCACGACCTTGGAAGCCATGCTGGTGGTCAGGAGATTCTACACGAATCGTGTTGTATGCTTTCATGTCAAACTGCGCGAGATTCACTTGAGGCACCTTGGCCTTAGCCATCGATTTCACAGCTTCTCCTTCTGACGGAACCCCCGGAAGTGCCATCGCACTGGCGACCAGCTACCTGGGGAAGGTTGTCATTGTACGATTTGGCATATCCTCCAGGCCGATGAAGAAGGGAATGCTGCCCGACATAATTATCTCATAGTGCGAAGACAATCCCAGCCCCCTTTTTTCTGCGTAATGCCAAAGAGAGCCTGGCTGTACTGCATGTAGTATGCGTGCTCCGTGTGGTAGGTGTATGTAGCCTTCTGGCCAGGAATGAGTGGAGAAAACATGGTCGTCTTCGCGCTATCACTGCGCAAGCTGCTAGTGTTGCTCCACTTCTCTGGCGCGATGGCGAACGAAGCACTGCGGATGGCCTGTGAGAAGAATACAAGCTCTGCACAACGATTCCACAGGCGACTCCAAACTTTCGCAAATTAGGGATCAGGCTCTGGAAATCCTTATTGCAAGGTCAGACTTCGTAAGAAACACAGCGGGGTTCCAATCAATGGAAGGTGTAAACAAGCAGACCAGTTAGGGTTTCGAAAAGACTTGTTTTGATTTGGTCGGGTTTGGTTCTCCTGCCTAATTAGCTGACTGGTCGCACCGTCGGGACAGAACTATACACAATACACATGACGGGCTAGTCCCAGCAGTTTAGAAAGACCTCCAACAGGCGGGGCAAGGACCTCTGTGAGCCCGCGCCGTCCACTGCATGAAGACATCCCAAGAAAGA